ACAAAAAAAAAAAGGCAGAAAATAACAAGTGTTAAAGAAGATAGAAAGAAAAATACTCATGCAATACTAGTAGGAATGCAAAAGGTTACAACCTCTGTGGAAAATCACATGGTGACTCCCTACTCATTTCAACATGGAATTATCATACAATCCAGTCATTCCATTTCTGGGTAGAAACATGAAAGATGTGAAAGCAGTGATTTGTATCAGCATATATTTGTAGCAGCATTATTCCCAACAGCCAAAAAGTCGACGCAATCCCGATGTCCTGAATATGCATAGACAGACAAATGGATAAGCAAAATTGCCATCGGAAAATGTATTCCACAGAATGGAATACTACTCAGCCTTCCAAAGAAAGGGAATTCTGACACGTGGTACACCATGAGTGAACCCTGAGCGACCCAGAGTGATCAAGTTCATAGAGACAAGGGTAGGATGGTGGCTTCTGGGGAGCAGCGAGAGTCCAATGAAGAGGTCACATTGAGTGGGTATGGGTCTTCATTTGGGCAAGAGGAAAATGCTCTGAGGACAGGCAGTGCTACACACAATGACTGTACATACCTTGGATGCACTAGCCCCCCGATCTAAGCACTTGAAAACAGTTGCCCCTGGGCGTTTCAAGGGATAGGTATTTTCCCACCCTCAAATCCAAGAAGGATCTCTAGCAAACACACACTATGGCTTCCAGAGTGTGCTGGGCTGCTTCAGGCGTGTGTGTGTGTGTGTGTGTGTGTGTGTGTGTGTGTGTGTGTGCTGCTCGATATTTTATCTTCATTCATAGCAACTTAAAGCCAAGTCTGCAAGGAGCCCCGCACACTGTTCAAGATAAGGACACGGTAGACTTGGCAGATGTGCCAGCTGGGGATGGCCCCCTTTGTACCTGCTGCCTTGGTTACTCAGGTCTGGCCTGCAGTCCTGCTTCCTGCCTAGTCAGGATCTGGAGCTGGAGTGGAGGATGGATTTTGCCAGAAAGATACTATATGCTGCTACAGGTGCTTTGGCAGCAGGCACCACTGGGTGGAATCTCAGAATGTTGGGGAAATGGCAGCGTAGCCTTTGCTCTCACCTCTATCCTCCCAGTCATTCTGGGGATCACCTGAGACCAAACACCCAACCATTCTACACCCATGAACTCAACTACATGGCACCATGGGGCTGAGGAGCCGCAAAGCAAAACCCAGGGAATACAATAATTAAACACCACAAGGAAACCTTCAGTTTGCACATTAATTCCTGGGTACCGTTTATAAAAGTTAACAGGGCATATTTAATTTAGGGATTGGCCCACGTCCTTCTCCTTATAGCCGAAACCTCATAAACGAAAGACGCTGGCTCCTGGCCCAGTGCGGAAATAAAAGTTATGAATAATGTTTCTATCTCAATCATTGTCAGCGTTTTAATATTCCTAATTACCTTAAAAAGCTAGATATTCAATATTGGAAAACTTTTTTTCTTTTTATCTCCACTTGTGAGATTAGTGCAATTTAATAAGAGTCACACTGTCATCTTTATTCAGTATAAACTGACATTTCATCCTTTTACTCTTCATTATTCTAAGGGATGGAGGTTTATGACCGTACTTGCCGTCACTCCATTTCCCCATATTTCCCCATAACAGCCCAGGATTGGCCACTAGAGCTGATGTGTCTGCCCACTGGGCAGGGTGCCATCACCCCATTCCCTTTATGGGGGCAGAAAGAAATTACTCAAGGCCTTAAAGGAATGAGGTTGTGGGGCTATATGTCTATAAGAGAACCAGAAGTTGCCCCCCTCCGCAGTTCTGGATTTATCCCCTCCCTGACCACCGACATCATAAATCCTGCAGGGGCCAGGGCAGGAGCCGCAGCAGGATGATAGATTTCCCCAACCCTGCCTGCCATTTCCAGGAATTTGTTCTCAGGAAAATATGGGGACCCATGGGCCAAAACACATGCAGAGAGAGCCACGGGCCCTGAGCCAGTCACCTGCCAACCTCAGAAATGTCCAAGGAGTATTTCTCAAGCTGGATGCCAACCTTCCTTTAAAGGCAGAGTCTGCACAGGCCTTATGTGAGAGTGTACTGCCTTTTGGTCACTCAATGAGATGGTCCTATGTCACATCATAATCATTGCAGAGGTCAGTGCTATGGCACGGTAGGTGAAGCTACTGATTACAATGCTGGCTTCTTATGTCAGCGTGTCGGTTCAAGTTCCAATTGCTCCCACTTGCAATCCAGATCCCTGGAATAAGACGATCTGAATGCTTAGGTCCCTGCTACACATGTGGGAGACCTAGAAGGAGTCTGTAAGCTCCTGGCTTCAGTCTGGCCCATCTGGGAAGTGAACCAATGGATGGGAGATGTGCGTGTGTGTGTGTGTGTGTGTGCGTGTGTGTGTATGTGTGTGTGTATGCGTGCATGTACATGCCTCTCAAAAAAAAAATCTTAAGAATATTTCTAAATGCTGCACAGAGCCTACTAGATGATGCTTCCCGTGTAATACAGTCATCATCTACTCTCTAAACTCTGAGAACTTGCCATGCTAACATTGCTAAGCCCCAGGGTCTCACGTGGAAGATGGCAAACCCAAAGGGTGAAGAACCAGAGGAACAGGTTGCTACACTCCACTGGCTCAGCCACAAGAATAACTTCTACAGGACTGCTAGGTATGCTAAATATGAGTGTTTGACCCAAAGGTGAGCTGAACAAGGTTTGCAAGCAGCTGACCAAGACTGAAGCTATGTGGTCAGACCAGGAAGGCTAGTTTAAGAGGAATAGAGGCCGAATCTAATGATAAGAAACTCAATGGGCAAAGTGATGTTGCTGCAGAACAAAAGGGACGTGGGTTAAGAAAAAAAAAAAAACCTGGGGAACGAGGTGACCACTGCCTCCTACTCTCTGGAGGGCTGCATTGGTTGTTATCAACTGCTCTTGGCACACACTTTGTCCAGGGAGTTCCTTGGGAGAAATCCCAGTCACAGCTAAAATGGGCATACAGTACACCAGCCTGTCCGGCAGGCAGATACTAGAGAGAGAGATTTCCACTGGCAGGAATCTTCCAATGGGCAGAATATGTCTGCATGGGAGGGGGTGAGCTCCCCCTCATGGAGGAATCACAACAGAGAACAGGAACCTCTCACCAGGCACCTCAAAAGCCACAGCTCGGGAGGGAGGGTGGTCACAGCCAAGAAGCCCAGGACTCCCTCCGCTCCATGCCACTGCCCTGCAGCATGGGCGTGGGACCTACCTTTGGGAGTTCCTCTGGGCACAGTAGTGCATGCCTTTGAGTAGTCCCAGGAAAGAGCAGGCTTAGCCCAGGTTTGTGGGGAAGGAGATTTATGGAGAGGACAGAGATTGTGGGTTGCTCAGCACCAATGTGATGGCCGACTGGGAAGGCTGAGTTAGGTAGCCCAATGCTGCCCTGTGACGTCCCAAGGCCATTTTCCTATGTGTTGCGCAAACTCACTCTGAGGGCAACCTTCCGTGGCCCATTCACTAAGAACCACTTTCATCCCATTTCATTCTCTATGCTGTAAGCCCTGAGAAGGCACAGGTTGTATCTGTGCCCCCTGGCACAGCTCTGGGCATCCAGTGGGTACTAAACATGCTGGCACTGACCAGCAATCTACCTATGTATCTATGTACTCAGGGCTCCTAGGACTCAATCCTCGATGGGCTGCCCTCAGCCTTAGCCCCAGCAGCAGGTAGACACTCTCCAGCAGGGTTCACCCAAGCCAGGTTAGAGACCTCTATACGCAAGACTCATTGCAAGCAAAGTTACACAAAGAACACAAACAGGTGGAAAAGGCTCTTAAGAAAAAAATCCAGCATGCTTCCCACAGTTCAGTCCACAGAACAATTAGTCAAGTACGTTCCTTTAACTCACCTGCTGATTTTTTTGTTGTCTGGCCATAGCCCCCCTCCAAATAGTACAGCATGCAGAAGGAGGGGGCTACACTGGCCAATGGAGGATCCCACTCAGGGGTGAGATCCCTGGATACCCTAAGCCCAGGCTCAGAACAAAAACACATGGCCTAAACTTGGCTACTGTGTTTTTACCTGCTGGGTAGACAATGGGGTGCAAGGCAAGGTCATGGAAAACCAAGGACCACAACTAACTGTTGCATGTTAGTAGAGAGCGCACCCTATGGGGCCCAGGTGGACCCAACATTCCCCTTTCCAAATTCCTTGTCCATCACAGTGTATGGGAACTATGGGACTTAGGCTAGGGAAACACTCCAGTTGTTAAAAGGCACTCCACCCCAGTTTAAAATAGGAAGGAATCTGGCTTTTCACCACTGAACTTGAAGTAAGGCCATGGCATTGGTCAACCACTGGTTTCAGAGTATGTCAGAGCAGGGGAGTCTTCTGTGAGGACTTGGGGGACAGAGCCAGAGGATTCTGTCCCCAGCTAGACTCTGGGAGAGCAATCCAGGCTGCTTCCGGGTGTCCCCAACCTATGCAGGTGCCCACTAGACAGTAGAACGAGTGCCTCATGCTGCTTCAGCTCGGCTTGCAAGAGCCCTGGTCTCACTCATACTCACCAGGAAGGCCTCCCTGCACATCCGTGAAAAGTCTGAACACAGAGATGTAGGCTTCCATTCTACTTTGAGAACACGGAGCTAGCCCTGTGTTCACAAGTCGCCCAGTCAGCCCCACTGAGTCTTTGGGCCAGCCAAATCAAGGGCCAAGGGTAGAGCACAGAGATCTCTTGGGTCCACCCAACATCTCAAGTTCACATCAATCCTCAAAGACCACATTAAGAAGTGTGTCATCCAAAGAGCTGTACAGACAGCCTGCAACTCCCTCTACATACAACATATGCTACCCCCACAGATCAGTGCCCTCTCTACTCCAACAAGTACCAGCAGGGCCAGGTACTAACTTCCTGATGCCCACACTGGTTCAGACAGCCCATGCTAAGTCACTCCAGCTCACTACATAAGAATATTGCAGCATGTACACTCCCTCCCCACTCCATGTCACAGCCTGGGGAGCTGCTTGGTGACCCCGGACTCACCGCTGGAGCAGTCAGGCCCTCCCCAGCCAGGTTCACAGTGGCAGGTGTCAGGGGAGACACAGCGGCCGTGCACACACTCCTCCGTACACAGGGCTGTGGGGCGAGGGGAGAGAGAGAAGAAAATACCAGAACCAACAGTGAGAGCAAGCCTCCAGCCAAGGAGCACAGCCCCACGCCCCGCCACTTCCCAATGCTCAGGAAGGCTCGAGATTAATCCAAAGTTACCCACAACCTACGTTGTTTAATTAATTCTTCCTGAGGTTATAATGAGGACATTTTTCACCCCGGTTCTCGTTTCCTAAATTGCAGCCCAAGAAATGCAGGCACTGGTGGTTTTTTAAGAGCATTAGCTTGCGATACTAAACTTCTGGTCAACCTCAATCCCTAAATCCACATCCCAGTTCCCTTGCCTGCTCTACCCAGGAGAGTACCTGTCACTTCCATCTTTGGCTGTCCCTACTTCTCTGCACAGACCTGGACACCTACCAGGCTGTTTGTGGAGAAAAGGTACTTTTTACCCCACCCCCACCCTAACTCCCACCTGCCTGCCCTCCTCCCTAAATGTCCCTATTTTGGGGCTCTCAAATGTCAGCAAATTTGCAAAGCTCACACATGCGAAGGAAAAGGCAACAGCTAATTATAAGAAAGTAATTAAGAGAGACATCCACGATGATGATAATTGTAATTAGAAAGTGCCTGACAATTTCTTATCACACAGTCAAATGCTACAGCCTCCCTGAGCCGTGAGGCTACAGTGCAGCCTTCCAGCAGCCATGTGGAGAGGGCTCTGTCAATAGAGGTTTGAGGACAGCAGATTAACTCTCTGGTCCCATGACAGAATCTGCATTTTCTCGGGGTCTTCTTTGGCCCCTGAGAGATCTGCCCCACCACCTAATCCATGGGGGGAAGAAGACACAAACCCTGCTCCCCCTCCCCACCTGCCACCCCCAGCCCTTGGGGAGACTCAGGGAAATGAGCAGCTGCCATCAGCCCTGTCAATTTCTCCAAAGGATCTAGAACAGGGCCTTTTGTTGAAAGCTGCTACGTATCCTCTCCCTATCTGGGAGAAGTGGTGAGGTGGGAGAAGAGGGATGCCACATGTACACTCATGGCCTAAATGCCCACCAACAAGGTTGGTTATACTGCCAAGTTCATGTTATGACTGAAAGGGCTGAGGGAGTAGTCCTCTGGCATTTCCTAAACTCAGGTCACCTTGAAGCTGTGGTCTTGGCTTTGTCCAGATTCCCAGGCAAGGGAGACCCCAGGGAAGACCCACAGGTCAAGGGTCTACAGTCAACCCCCGGGTGGGATATGACTGCAGAGCATCAGTACTTGTCTCCTTTTCACCCATCCCTGTGGTCATGCCCTTTGGGAAGGAGTCTAAAGACATGAGTGGCCCCAGAGTCCTGCTCCATTCAAGCCCCAGCTCTCACAGGGAAACCAGACAAGGACCAGCTCCACGTAGAGCCACAATGAGCCACTCCCCTGGCTGTTAGCAAGACCCCAGGCCAGTCATTCCTGATGCCCAGGGTCCTACAGTCCCCACTGGAGCTTCCAAGCAAGCTCAACTAGGTCAGCATCCCCAGTATATGCTGGACACCTCCTGTGCATCCTCAGGCTCTCCCAGCTCTTGTCAGCCTAGGCTGCACTTGCCCCCTTGGTCCCTCCCACTGCTGAGGTCCCCCTGTGCTCCACAGTTGGCCCATTGCTAGTGTTGCAGCTTGTCAGATTAGCTCAATGACACTTCCAATTGCTCTCTCACTGCACAGAGTGAGACCTCGATCCCTCGGGTCTCTACCACAGGGGAGAGCAGGCAGGGCATCATGCTGCGGCGGTGAGCGGCAGGGCCAGTAGAAGAGGCCACAGAGAATGGCATGTCCAGCACTTTCCTGGTATGCATGACGACACTGAGGTCCAAGGGTCTGTGACCTTGGGGATGGTGACCCTCAGCCATGGAGGAAGGAGCTGGGATGTGACTCGTGGAGGTCCCTGGGTGGTGGCAGGGAGGGGATGAAACAGCCCAGCCTTGGCTTTCTGCCTGACCTCTGGGGTGGGAGAAGCCAGAGGCCAGAGAAATAGCCTACTTTTACTCAGCATCACACGGGGTGGGGACCAGCAGAGGTTCAGGCCTGCTGAGGGGCAAGGGTGGGCCACTGGGAACAGAGACCATGCCCACCTTCTCTCTTCCTGACCTTGGACACCTGGCGAGCCTCCTGGCAGCTGGGAGGGATATGAGGCTCTAAGCAAGCTCCAGGTTTCTGTGTCCTTCCCCTATGATGCCCTCCATCTACCAGGCTCCTCCCATACACCCCACCCAGCCCCAGAGCCAGCAGGCTGTCCTGGTGGGGGATAGCCCTCCCACAAGCCCTGGGCTTGCGGCCCCTCCAGACCTTACATCCACCCCCCCTCCAACCTCCTGGTCCGATGCCTGTGTTGTCTGCTTGTCAGAGTCTTGGCAAATCCATACCCCGCGGGTGTGTTTGGATAGCATTGTTTGAAGCGTGAAATGTTGATGGCCGGGTTCCCATTGCCATGGCTGGCACGCGTCCCCACGCCACCCCCCCGTGTGCCTAAGAGGAGGGGCAGGAGGTTGCTCTGAGGAAGGTCTCATAAGCAGAATGGAGGTGTCACCAGTGACACTCAGGGCTGGGGCGAGTGGACTCCTAACCCAGAAAGTTAGGGGCACTGATGGGCTGGCCCCTAGAGCAGGTGGGTGGTCCCCCAAGTCCTTGCTGACCCAGGCCCTATGCTTGGTGACACCCCAGGAGAGGCTGGATTGGGGTTCTGCTGCCCTGGCTTCCTTCCATGGCTCCTAGAACTCAGCATGGGGCATGATGTCAAGTCCCCCTTCCCACGGCTGTGCAGCCATCTGTCATCCTGCACAGGGTGCCCGAGGCAAGCTCCGATGTGACCAACCATGTGACTGGGGGCAGCTGGCTGCTCCCGGGTTCCCAGCCACATGGAGGAATCAGAACTAAACTCTCTTGGCTCTTCCACCTTACCCCTCTGTACCCCAGCTCCACCCCTGCTGCAGACCTCCTAGCTGCTGGAAGGAGTATCTTAAGAGGCAGGATGGCATGTGGTCAGGTGTCCAGGATTCTGCATCTAGTGATGCTGTGAGGAGCTCAGCCCTCAGGCAAGGTGCCTGCCTTTCCATGCTGCTCCTGCATCCCCCATCTGTTCACCAGGGCACTGACAGTCCGCGGTATCACAGGCTGTGCATGGGCTGGATGAGTCTTCTTGGGGGGTAGGATTAGGAGGGTCTTATCCATCCAAGGGCAGGCTCCCCACAATACTTAGGCCTCTTTGATCATCTACATGCCGCCCCCTCCCTCCCACCCTCTGTCAGGGTCTAGACATCTGACAGGCAGTCCATGGGGACAGGCTAGGGACAGTGCTGCCTGAGGGCCAGGGTGGTAGATGTTGTGATAAAGCAAGCTGAAATTCCACATCTGCCCATTGATAGCAAAATGCTTAACTTTCCCTGTCTTGATTTATTTGCCTGTAAAATGGGGATAAGAGTAATGCCAACCTCACAGGTGTTACAGAGATGAAATAAATGACTCAATGCACATAAAGTACTCAGACAAGAACCTGGCCCATGCCAAGTGCTCAGTGAGCAGGAGCTACTGTGATTACTCCCGCTTCCCTCCTCCCCCCCGCCCCCCCCCCACCGCCCCACAGAGACTACGGGATCTGCATTGAGGCCCTGTTGCCATGTGTGTGCTACCACACTCTGAGCAAGTCCTTGGGGTCTTCACACAGGCTACCTCAACCTCCCTCAGAGACCCCCCCCATTTGGCATGCCCCAGGGAAAGCAGCACCTCCATTCTTCATCTCTCCTACCACAGCCTCCAGCCTCCAGGCAGGAATCCCCCAGCATCCCTCTGGGGAAGACCTGTAAACGGAGGTTACACTTCATGGGCTCTCTGTCCCATTCAGTGCAGAGCCACTGCTAGCTGCCTCCTGCCCACCCCAACCCTGTTTCCTCCCTGAGGCCTGGTGAACTCCCCCACTGCACATCCTAGGGGTGTCTGGTTGCTATAGTGTGTGACAAGGGCAATGTTGGGTAGCTGCATACAGGCTCAGGATCCCAGGTATTTCCTGGTTAGGGGGAGGTCCTGCTGTACAGGGTGCCTGTTTTTTGGAGGGGCAATTTCTTGGTCTTCCTCCCCCTCTGTCCTTCTGTGGTTTACTCATCTCCTAGGATGACAGACTTGGGGGAAAAAACGGCTAAAATAGAACATGCCCAAGAACTTCTAAGCAACACCAGTTCCCCTTTCTACAATGGTACTTTGGGTCACCAGAGGAAATCAGGGTTTGACGAATGGGAATGTGTCACTGCAGCTGCCACGTGTGTCAATTCAGCATGTATTTCAGACCTTTTTCCCTCCCAAAGACTGGGGACAAGGAATGAGGATGATTTGAAGAAGGAGAATGTGGCCATCGATGCTCTCTCACTCAGGGAGACGCTAGCAACCCGCTGGTGAAAACGACACATAGGAGCAAGAGGCCACAGCCACCTGCTCCCCAGGCCCCATGTGAGGCATTGCTTTTCCACCTTGACTTAGACTTGGGGAACTGAACTGGCTAAAGTGACAATGTCACCATGTACCTGCATGTTTGGCATAATTAGACCATGCCACCCAGTTTTTCTGCAGTGAGAATGCACAAGTGCCCTTGCGCCTGCCCCTGTCCCTGTGCCTGTGCCTGGGGTCCATGGACAGCTGGCATTAACGGGCTTCTTTGACCATAAGAAAAAAGCTGCAAGAGCTGAGAAGGCCATCTTCTCCTCCCCGAAGCTGAAGGTCCTGGGGGTTCCTTCCAGCCTATGGCTAGCACTGGTTCTTCTCAGCTATTCATCCTAAATGCAGTGCCATCTTTTGCTGTGTTCTTTTAACCCTTCCCACACGTCTGTGACTAATCACAGTGCTATGGGACTCTTCCTCACTGATCCCCCTGAATGTGTTGCCTGCTTCTCACTGAGCCCCTAACCAACCCAGTGTCCATGCTGTGGTTTGAATCTACATGTATGAGACCAATAGATCCACTGGCAGAAGAGAGCTGGGTCCCCTCCACCCTCTGGGACTCAG